GCCACCGCCGCCGCCGCCGCCGTCACTCTGCGGCGAGGAGGAGGAGGAGGGCGCCCCGGTCTCGGTGCCGGCCCGCTCGGCCGGGTGTGCGCAGATCTCTTCCCGGAGGGGGCGGCCCCCGCCGGCCGAGAGGGTCCCGTAGACGGCGGCCGACGAGGAGAAGATGAAGGTCTTGACGGCAAACTCGCCCAGCAGCGCCACCAGGTCCACCAGCCCGTTGATGTTGTTCTGGTAGTACCGGAGGGGGTGGCGGATGCTCTCCTCGACGGCCTTGTAGGCGGCCAGGTGGATGACGCCCACGATGTTGGAGCGGACGGGCGGCGCGCCCGCCGGGCCGGGGAACGAGTGCAGCTCCAGGATGGACCGCATGGCCGGCAGGTCGCGGTAGCTCACCTGGTGCATCTCGACCATGGGGCACCGCTGACGGTGGTCCTCGTGGTGGCGGCGGGCGATTTCTAGTATCCCGTCCAGCACGCTGCGATAGCTGTTGCTCAAGTCGTCTACGATGATGACGTTGTACCCGGCCTTGACGAGCTCCACGACCGTGTGGCTCCCGATGAAGCCGAGGCCGCCCGTCACCAGGACATACTCCTCGCGCCGGGCGGACAGAGACGCCGCCGGCGAGGCGCCCGAGCCGTCGTCGTCGAGGGCCACGTCAAGGAGCGAAACATCGGGAGAGGTGGTCCATGTCGCGACTGTTGGTGGGCTGTCTGCCGAGTCCCGAGACGGCGTCCCGGGCGAGGATTCGGAGGACTCCATGAGCGTCCTTGGAAGCAAGGGGGAGGGTTGTGTCGACGAGAGGACGAGGGAAAAAATCAAACGGGAGATGGTTCCGATGCCGCGTTTTCTAGCTCACGGCCAAATGAAAAGAATAGGGGGAAAGCAGCCGTCAAAGGTCGGCCGAAAAGGTGCCTCGACAAGTTTGGATGGCCTCTGTTCATGAAACATGTCGCTCGGCTTGGCGGCTTGACGGGCCGTATAAGAGCCACAGGCTGGCGTGGTTATGGGACGTGATGGAATCAAACTCTTGCGTCTTTGATACTCTCTGGTACCGGCTGCGACTAGTGCCGTTTGCTCATGGACTATTCGATGCGATGCCTGGTGAGCGAAAAGAGAGTCGCAGGTGTACCGTGCTCTTCGGTGAGGGACCAAGCCGGGCGCAAAACACGCCGGCCAAGCTCTGGCACAGGACGACGGAGCAAATAGTCTTTGCACTTGCAGCCTGGATGGAGTCAATATTCCACGGCAAACTCGGGTCGCGCTTGCAAGGATGGACCAAACCACGGACAAGGGTCGAGATACGATGCATTGAAATACATGGTGTAATACTCCGTACCGGCGTTGGCAGTGCCTTGTGGCCATGGGGCCAAGACACGAGTTTTCGTTCATGTCAAGTACACAAGACTCGGGATGCTGAACCGTTCCGAGGACAGGCCACATGTGCAGCTTTCAGAGTTTTTCTGCCACGGCAGTTGTGGCGTGTAAACCGCCTGGTAGAAGCTGTCAAGTTCTAGATAGCACGGCACATGGGTGTTGCATGGCGAGGCTGACTATATTGCGCCCGACTCACGCCGACCTGCTCCCAAAACACGCCTACAATTTACATGGAACCAGCAAACAAATTGCCAGCGTTGAACCACCAAAGACACCGACCGGGATCATGGTGGCGTTTCGGAGCTGAAGCGTCAATGAGCGCTGACACAGATTTTGACAGCCAACGCCGTCAGGCACGCCGTCGCGCAGGCTTGCCAACAATGGCAAAAAGCCATCGCAATACGGGTCCACAGGCAGCAAGAGCATTGACTGGCTCCCCGAGGCGGCGGCATAATCCAGCTGAGAGAGGCGGTCCTCCAAGCCACGACGGCATAAATACAAGAAGATTGAGCTGCTCGGCGGGCAGACACCCCTGCTCCTCGTTCGTTCGTCTTCTCCCACTGAGCATCCACACCGTCCAGACCAGTTGACATGACAATGGCGGACATGGACAGGACGAAGCCCTGGGTGGTCATGCCACTGTACTACTACCCACTGGACGAGGCCACATGGAAGCCGCTGTACGACGCGTAGGTGAAGATTGAAGGGGCCCTCCCCTCGACCCGACCAGTTGACGATACGAGGACCATCTGGAGACTGACCTTGAACACGCGCAGCGCCGCGTCCTACCCCGACGTCAACTTCCTCGTCGTCGTCAACCCCAACAGCGGCCCTGGGACGGAGCCGCTCCCCGGCAAAGACTACGCCCGCGAGGTGCCGCGGCTCAACGCCTTCCCCAACGTCCACGCCGTCGGCTACGTGCGCGTCGACTACTGCAGGAAGCCTCTGGCCGACGCCTGCGCCGAGATTGACCGCTACGCCCGCTGGCGCCGGCACCCCGACGCGCCGCCGGGCCTCCACGTCGAGGGCATCTACGTCGACGAGACGCCCAACCACTACTCGCCCTCGGCGGCGCGGTACCTCGACCACGTCCGCCGCCTCGTCAAGGCCAGCGACGGCCTGGCCGGCGAGCGCTCGACGGTAAGTAAGGCTGTGTGCCCGCCCCTATATGCCGCCTGGGATATGACTGACTGACTCCTCACCCAGGTCGTGCACAACCCCGGGACGCCCCCGGAGGGCGAGCTCGCGTCATTTGGGGACCCTGACCTGGTGTGCGTCTGCGAGGAGCCGTACCACCTCTTCCAGGGGGACGGCCTGCAGAGGCGCCTGGTCGACTGGGCGCCCGAACACGAGCGCTGCGTGTACCAGATCTCGGGCGTGCCCCAGGACGAGCTGCCCGCCGCCGTGCACGACCTGTGCCGCCGCGGCCGGTACGTCTTCGCCACCGACCTGGTCGACGACTTTTACGAGAGTTTTGGGCCCAGCTGGCCCGGTTTTGTGGCCGCCGTGAGCGAGGCGGCGAGGCGGGCATGAAGGCAGTCACTGACTCACTGGTGGCCAAGAGGGACGTTCATATGGCTGCGTCACGCTAATTAATATATCATTTATTTTCGCGGGTATATATGCATTATCGTGCAAATTAGAACGGGAGAGGAAAAAATTTAAAAAAAAAATTAATTTAGAATGAATCGCCCCAGCTCTTCGTCTGTGCGCCGTGGCGTCGCGCCAAGGCACCTCTTCCAACTCTCGCCTTGGCCGGAAGCGCTCCCGGACGGCATTTGGACCACAGTGGCGTCAAGGATCGATGGTATTCGCGCTCGTGGAGCACCCGCTTGTCCAGCTCGTCCTGGTCTTGCCCTGTTTCATCTCGCCTTGCTGTCCGCTGGTTGGCCGACTAGTCATCCACAGCTGGTCGTCTTGTTTTGGTTTTAGGTGTGTGGATAGTGTATAGTGTGTCATTTTATTATCTCGCGCTGCAAGTCGGTCCAGTCTAAAGTTTATGCGAAACGTCGATGTGTATGTGGTAGTTGCATGGCTCAGCCACAGTCCTTATCGCCATCCCTGTACAATGCCCAAGCAGGAAGGCGTTTGGTTGCAACTTGCGCGGCTCCTATCAGGGTGCCGGGTCGTTGTCGAATCTGCTTGGCCGACACGCCACGGCCACTATCTGGTCCATCCATGTATATTGGTGCAATGACAGCGTATGTACATGGCCCGTGTCTCTACGCCGGCACCTGGCCGACAAAGTCCAGCCAGTCGTTGGCAAACGAGTTGTAGAAATCCACACTGAGGCTCGTGATGAAGACGTACTTGGCCAGGTCGGACAGCGAGTTGACGAATTGGCTCAGGGTGCCGTTGCTCATGGTGGGCACCGTGTTGACCATGACGCTGTAGGCGCCCCTGGTCTTGGGGAGTGCGGCCAGAGACCTGCTCCGGTCCTGCCACTTGTCGTACGTCTCCTCAAAGACGACCGTCACGTCCACGTCGCTGCCGTTGAAGCGGGCGTCTGGAATCACGCCGGGGTTGTGGATGATCTGGAGAGTCGCGTGTGAGCCGAGACGTCCGTGGGCGCCGGGTCGGGCAACGACGACAACAACAAGGACAAACGTACCGTCTTGCGGCCCTGCAGGCCGGGCGCGCTCTTGACAAAGCTGTCGGCGGCGCGAAGGAACTCGACGGCCTCGGGCGAGTACTCGTGCGGCGCCTCGTCAAAGAAGATGCCGTGCATGGCCAGCGCGCTGGCGTTGCTGAACCAGCCCGAGTAGACGGCCACCTCGGCGGTCACGTCGGAGAGGTTGCGGGTGGCATAACCCGTCCGCACGTACCCTACGGTTTCTATATTTGGGTACGAGTTGAGCCGGCGGATGGCAGCGTCATAATGGACGTCTGGGTACGGGCTGCTCCCCGGCCCGCTGCTGGGGTTGACAATGACGGTGAAGTTGAGGTCAGGCCGGCGGCTGACGCTGCGGGTGTTGTTGTCTGCTGTCAATGACTTATACTCGGTAGACCACGACGGCGGGAACGGGCTCACGCTGGGAAACTCACGCGTCGTACACCGGACTCCAGGACGAGTCGGCGAGCGGGTAGATGTAGAGCGGGAGGATGACGTTGGTGGGAGGCTGCTGCTTGCGGTTGCGGCGCGGGAGCAGAACGGCCAGCGGCACGACAATGGCAATGATGACGGCGACGGCAACCAAGGCCACGCCTGGCCAGAACCACTTGGAGCGCCGCCAGGGTCGAGGGAGATGGTGTTGCAGATTCATGGTCACCAGAGGGGCCGGTGGTACTGACTGCTGGGCATGCAATCAGCTCTGGGTTTTCCTCTCCTGTGCTCCTTCAAAAAGACAGCAAGCAAGCACGAGAGCAGCTGGTCGGGGTGTATGCTTATACGGAGGCTTGCTCTTATACTATGTAACATTTGAAAGTTTGGTCGACTGGGCGTCTTCCGTGTGCCTGCGCGGATGTGATTGGTGCACATGTACGCCAAGACTATCCTGAGGCAGTGGTCGCCAACGATAACCTTATTTCAGGTCGGGAGGCCGAGTGGCCGATGGCCTTGAATTAAACTAAGAAACGATAAAATAAACATCAACTTGCACTTGGAATCACTAGTTGAAGATCCACAGTCCGAGCAGAGCCTCGAAAGGGGGCGATACACATGGCCGGGCGGCGTGCTGAGAAAAAAAAAAAAAACAAAGCTTGCATCGAGTCATAAATTAAAAAAAAAAAAATGAAAATGAAAATGAAAAATGAAAAACCTACATCACAAGCCAGTCTGGTGTCTACGGCGGAGCCCTCATGGCGTAAGCGGGCACATCGATAGCGCCAAGTCCCTGTTCGTCTCGTGTGCAAATCGAAAGCTGGAGCCATCCCCAGCGCCGTGAGCCCGTATTTGTTCGGCCACTCTTGTCCCTGGACCCATGCCATCTATCCATCATGTCTGTGCACATCGTTGGTGCGACCCCTGCAGGCTGACGCCCGGCACCCATGTCTGACCCTGGCCAACATTGACGCCGCCCGTCCCGGGATCCGGGATGTGTTGTTCTAGTATCTATCTACGTACAAGCTGAGCGATTTCTGCATGGCGACATGTTCATGTATGTACTTTGGCTGTGGGTTTGTGTGAAAGAGCCTCATGGCGTGGCATGTTGGAAGAAAAAAATCTGCTGATAGTTGTCGTCCGGCCTTGAAAAAATCAAATCAACTTGGCGTCGCCGACCAGCATGTCATCGGGTCTGGTTTGAAAACGACGACTTTTGGCACGCACGGCCTCGAGTCATAGGGCTGACTCTCTCATATGCCGCTGCATCTTCAGCCGCAGCTTACATATGTAAAATACACCTTGTATGTAGTACGTGCACTCTTCTCGGTGACGCCACCGGTTGCCTCCTGCATGGTCCTCGGATACTTTGTGGACTGCCGCACTCTGCGCCATCGAAATAGCTTTGGGTGCCTGGGCACGCACGTATTGACTACTGCACTAGTCCGGCCACGTCGTGAGCTGAGAGGCAGGGGCCTTGGTGAGGCGCCAATGACGGGCAAGCCAGACCGTTGACGCAAAATCTCGTAAACAGGATACATTGGTTTCAGGGGCCTGGCTGCGCACAGGAGAAACTTTGCCATGCTTTTGCTAGTGGGGGCTGCGCTCTCTCCCATGAGCCTGTATGTATAGTATGTATTATTTCTTTTCGAACATGGCCGTAAAATAAATGGACTCGGGACGTGTTTCTATTTTTTGTCATTGCCTATTCTGTCGCCGCTTGATGGGTGAGACTCACCGATATATTCCGCACTCCGCCTTGAACATGACATGAGCGAGTTGTAACACTCCTCTCGTTCTGGCCTCTCTTTAACTTGTTGTTTTCGTTTCAGCATTGCCCTCCCTAATGCAGAATGGCCATTAGCCATCTGGGATTGTCGGCCGTTGGCTGGCATGTAATGATTGACTCTTGGTGGGAACTGGTAAGAAACGTCGCATAACCTTGGGGAGCATGATCGACGGGCAGCTGATACTGACCATACGCCATCCAATGTCTGTAGCTTCTTGCTGGATTCATACTCGCCAGCATTGTTCTGGGATCTTCCTATCTATTGTACAACGGCTGCCGTTTCATCATTCGCCGGGTCAAGGTAAGAAAGAAGTCTGGGGATGGCCGCCGCTTGCTTGCAATGGAACTCATCATGATGACGCTTTGTATCTAGACAAAACGTCCGAAATGGTCGCTCCCGCGTCCAGTCGCGCGGTATTTTGCCAGCTTACGGCGAAGCTCAAAAAGTTTCCAAACAAGCTTCACTTCAGAAAAGAATACAAAAGAGGAACTCAACTCCTTCGGCGTCTTCCTCGGTAGCTTTTCTCAACCACCGACCGCAGTCCAGCATCGACTTCTTTCTCGGTGGGACATCCTTGTCGTCGATCCCTTCCAGGACGGCGTCGCCAATGCATTGAAGACCTGCCAGCCCACTGCCAAACATGTCCTTGGCCGTATCGACGTGCACGCGCTGACCAAGAACCATGACGCGGGCAACAAGCCCGCGGGCGTCGTCAGGAAGCTGACCATGGTCACGCAGGCGCTGGGCTCGCACCTCCGAGATGGGAACCAGGAACCCCCAGCGTACCGCGGTGTGTTGCTCGCCGGCTTCCGTGAGCATTTCCAGCCGCCAGTCATGAACGAGCTGTGCCGGCACATCAAGGACCTCGGGCTCGACGTATGGCTTGAACTGTCGTGCCCAGAGTACCTCACCGAGGATGAGGCACGCGCCCTCGACATGAAACACGTCAAGGGCATCGTGTACCGCAACGGCACGATCCGGCAAGATGGCGACAGGCAAAACTTCTTCCAGATGGAGGCGATGCGCACTGCCATGCGCGCAGTTGCCGCACAGCGTGTGGCCCATGGTCCTGCGCTCGTCATGTGGGAGACGGTTGACGACGACAGTCAGATGCAATTCGCCGTCGTCATGCGCGCCTACAGTTGGTGCACGTACAATAGCGCGCTGTGCTGGATAGGACACGCCGATGCGTTGCTCGATGCTGAGCGTGCGCGCACTCGGTCCATGGCGACCAAGCCTCTGGGAGCCCTCATGTGGTTGAAGAACGAGGCCAACATGGGCGCCCACGATGCTTGGCGTGCGAACGACAAGGTAAGCGAGCAAACCCTAACCCGTGATCGATGGCCCCGCACTCGGCCTTGGCACCGTGCAAAGCTGACCAGGCTTGGCTTTTTATGACGATAGATCTCCCCTACCTGGACCAGTCGGGATGCAGTCTATGACTCTATTTCCGCGTTTCTCCCGGGTCTCTCGGCACAGCTCCGTCTTCTGCCACCGGCAGTCGATGTCTCGCAGACAGGCCCGCCCGTTTCCAGGCACGGGGCCCCGTTGCGAGGCGCGCTCATGGCAAGCGAGTCTCCCTTTGACACCCCAAGAACCAGACACGCCTTGTCCGTCGTGTCCAGGAACAGCAGCAACCTCGACCTCGACCTCGACCTCGACTCCGTGGGGCTTGGCTGCTTCCAACTCGGCCACAAGGCTACCTTTGCCGACTTTTCGCAGATTCGCCTCAACCAGAGCAACCTTGCCGAGCTTGATCTGCTGGCCAAGCTCACGCCCGACGAACTGAGCAACGTGCGCAGCCAGATCGAGACACTGTGCGACGACCCCGACCTCAGTCCAAGGACCCTCCGTGCCATCAACGACCTCGTCGATCTGCTTCGCACATGCACTCCCGACAGTGAGCAACATGCACGCATCAAGGTCTTCTCTGGCCTGCATTCAGGCTTCCAGACGGATTCCGGGACGCAGTACTGGGGAGTGTATGAGCTCGGCCATGAGGATACCATTACCCTGTACCTGTCCAACAAGGCCAAGGACCGCACAGGCACGATTCTGCACACGTTCC